TAAAGTGGCCTGAGCGTAAAGCTAACCATCTGTTTGTGTAGTGATAAACAGTTATCCCGGCTTTAAACCGAGTATCTGTCGATTTTAAAAATGGTATCTCTTCACCGCGAAGGTTTTTTTTATTGAATTAGTGACAGACATATTTGTCTGTCCTCACTGTAAACCAATATTTCTAGCGCTCTAATTTCGGAAACCTTTCCAACATACGTATGAGTTAATCTAAACATTTTTATAACTCTGAGGAGTGCAGATTTGATAAGCAAAAATTATAAGACGTACGCAACCCCCCCCCCCAGAAGATAAAATGTAGAATAAAACAAGATAATATATTTACAAATCTAATAACCGGGCATTCGTAAACTAAAATCCTAACCCTCATAATTTGAAAGGATTCATGGAAGTCCACAAAATTGGCACTCCCGTTAGACCTATCATAAACTGGAGTAACTGTCCGGCATGTAAACCAGTGATACGGCTAGTTTATATCACGAAACAAAATTTGAAACTACCACACGCATTTAATATGAACAAAATATAATATTCTGGAGATGGAAACGCTATAAATGCTTGTTCAGTTTACAAATAACATTTTTAAAATGAATACACCCAGAGAACAGAGACAAAATCTGTATTGATAAAAAAGAGTAATTTAATTTAACTCTGAAGTCAAAGCTCGTCTTATATTTTTTAATAATTTCGTCTGTACCGCAAAGAAAACGCAACACTTCTCGGTTACAGTGGTTAATTGATTAATGTTGAAGGAAATAATCTTATGTTCACACTAAAGTAAGAATTGTACGAAATCCATAAATACGAAATGCGTAGGTGGTACATTTTGTTGGCTCTGTGCTTCAAAAAGGTTAGCGGTAAATATTTTACCTAGAAGAATTAACTGTGGGTGCTTCACCTTCGGCCATGTTGGCAGAGTATATCTGTAGAATGTTGTATCTTACGAATAACTTCGAAAGTGCACATGTATCAATATCTTCGATTAACGTACAGTAGTAAACAAAATGAAGACTGTGTATTCAGATACATATGAGTTTGTATTTGAAATACTGTATCGTTAGAAGTCGATAGATGGCAGCACCATTCCATTTTAATAACCTCAGTCATGTGTAAGTTACCATCAGTATAGTCGGCGCAGTAGTTTTTGGCCGGTGGAATTTTCAAGGGGAAGATTAGGAGCGAGTCTCTTGTGCTGACTGCGCCGAGGAGCTTATCGGTTTTTTGGCCGGTGGAATTTTCAAGGGGAAGATTAGGAGCGAGTCTCTTGTGCTGACTGCGCCGAGGAGCTTATCGGTCTGAACGCCCAAACAAAAGAAATTCACTGGCCGTGCCACCTCAGGTACACAGACTAGGCCCGCCCGCCAGCTCCGCTAGCTTCTCCACCGGCCAAAAACTACTACGCCATCTATACCATTCAGTTTACCGTATGCGATACAGTACGACGGTCGAACACACATACAAAAAAGTAAGTAAAAAATGCACCATACAGTCTGACAGTAACGCGTTCTACGCAACAGTGTGAATAAATTTTATTTAAATAATTAATACAGCATCGAGGTACAAAGTTAAGTCTTGAAAGAACGCTTGGAAATTCTGCCCCTGCGTCAATAAAACTCCGAATCTCAATTACAAGGATCAGCCATTTTACGGAATTAGATAAAGTTTTGTCTTCTGTGGCCTAAACTACACTCACGTTTTGTTTACAAGAAATGTTGATGATCTGAACGTTGAAGGAGCTACTGCTCGTAATTATTTTGCTTTATTTATGAAACGTTGACACATTGCAACGCTTCTTTCTTGGAAATTAACAAGCCTCTTTAAAATCGATTTTATTTGTGTGCTCTGTCTCATCTGATTTACAAACAGTTCGTGTAATTCCGGTTGCATCACTTAGCTTTGTAGGTGGTTGGGAATAAGAAGAATATTGATCGTGATCTTCTAGGTTGTGACGCCGTGTTGTCTTAATACTGATGTGGTCATGAGATTTAATTCACAATTTTTAAGAGTTGATGCTGTCATTTGCCTCCCGCATTTGATCTTCGACAGTTGCATTTCGTGCACTTGACTGTTGTTCGAGGATTGAGTGAGGTTAGAGATTTTCAGTGGACTAAACTAAATTCTATGGCTTTACCTGATTACAGAAGCAGAGTTTGCCTTTTGAAAAGTCGTGTGATTTGAAAAATTGTGAATGAACAGAATTTATAACATGGAATTTTTTTCTGAGGATGTGAACACCGACCTAGATCGCCCAGTGACAGATTTCGTTTACGTATTTGCGCTTTGTTTGTACTTTATTGCAACGGGTATTTCTTTAACAGCTAAATTGGCCTCATGGTAGTCACGGTTCAGTAATGAGATAGCCTTTGGTTTCCAGAACTGTCCCCGTTGTAAACATCAGACAGTCTCGTAGTAATCTTGCGCATAAACCACGAATGAACTGATCGTGGATGGTGAATAGTCTGTGATTTTGTTGAATGTACTGTACCTGCATTCGCCTGCACAAAATTACGCAAACCAAACTGCTTGGTGGGGTGAATTTCTTCAAGTGTCTTGGTTATCGTCTCATGGTCGAACAATGTCGTCCCCGCCCAACATATCGTGAACCGCAACTTCTTGTCACCTTCACGCGTCCTTCTGGGCGATAACGGACCTTACGTGGCTGTCACGATCAGTAACCCCGAGAACGCGAACTCAGGTGATGCGGCATTGCTCTTCGTGTACCTTAAGTAACATTGAATTCTAGCCGCACTTTCTTCGTGTCTGACGTGTAAGTGGCGAACCACAGTTCTGCAAGTGTAAAGCCTAATTCACACCAAGTCGACTGTTATAACAAAGGCGTTTATGAGGTTAAGGATGCCAGTAAAGTACCAATCACAACTCGTAGACGTACATTCTTATGGATGTATAGTTCGAACCACGCACAACCCTTTAATCGCAGTTGTAACTATTTGTACCACCTGCTTTAATAGTAAGTCATAAGATAATGCCATTCTTGTCTTCGACTTCAATTCCAAACACGTGAATACGTATAGTAGAACAAAATAAGACTGAATTCTTGATAGAGAATTATCAGGTTTTTCATAATCCGCATACCAGAATGCGTGGGATCCCGGCAAGGATTGTCCCGAAGATTAAAGCGGCAGGAACGTGAATGTGACCAGTTACTTCCGTCTGCGGCACAGGTCATAGCACGAGGAACGTACACTGCATGATCTTTAATGTGTTTAAGGCGTGCTGCTGTCTTTTGAACTATGCTGGGTTAATGATAAAGTTAATTAAAAGTTGCGTTGTGGGAAAGGAGTCTAGAATGTACGGGAAAGTTGTGCATTTTGTCTGTCTCAGCCGCAGTCTTAGTCACAGTGAGGTTGAGTGGAAGTAATTATGTGCAGACAGTCAGCCAACTGTGCGTCTCTTGTTTCAGGAGACGTTGAGGCCGTCAGCCAGCGCCTTGTCCAGCTGTCCAAGCAGCAGGGTTCCACTGACAACATCACAGTCATAGTCGTCTTTCTGACACATCCTGCCCAGCTCGCCTCCCGTCCGATCCCGTTGTGGGAAAACAACGGCCCACCGCCACAGGAGGCTCGCGCCATGGAGTCCAATTTCGACCTCAACACGAACACCACTTCTGCAGAAAACAATCCGTTCCTCATGAATCCCACATCAGAATCCGTCCCGTTCCAAAAAGGGGGTCTCCTTCTGGACCTCGGTAGCGGGGGAGACGACGGCCAGGTGTACAAACGTAATGGAACTTCTCCGTCCGTCACCGACCTGTACTTTCTGGACCGTCCAGCGAACTGCAAGAACTCGACCAGCGCCAACTATGACGATGAAGACTTCGGACCCGAGACAGACGTCGACGCTGTCGACGACGTTCTCCTGTCGCCAACCAGTGTTAAATCAGCGGCTCTGAACAACAACCCGTTTGGTGGTGACGAGAAGGGTGCGTTGGAAGCCGATCTGGAACTTCAAAGGCAGCAGCTTAGTGACTTCGATCCTGTTACGGAACCCCGGGAGGAGACTCCTACTCCACCAGCAGACCGGGGTGAGCAACATTGTGACTTTTTTTTTTTACACCTTTCATTTGTTTCTCTGTCGCGTCTTATAATACCTCAGGGAAGTAGGAATATGTTTGCTAGGCGTATTTGCTTACTCCATGGAGCAGAGCCTTTCCTGAGAAGCTAACAGCTCAACCACTCAAGAACTTTCCAACATTTTATGGGACCCGAAGGTTCATTACCGTGTTCACAAGAGCCAGCCACTGGTCCCCACCCTGAGTTTGATGTATCAAGTCCGTACCATCTTTAGCCCTGAACATGGAGGCAATACATTTCTCCGACGACTGGAAACCGAATGAAGACAGGACCATAAAACCCCACAGCTTATGGTCCTTGTCATTTTGTTTTTGAATTAATTAAAATGAAATCTTGTTTGATGAGGATTATTCAGTCGTTGCAAAACAACTGCTGAGCTTCGTTGATCATTGGAAATACACTTGTGGATGCAGGGGAACACAACGAAGCGATAGCACATATTGGAGAGATAACCCAATCTTTCTTTGTGCTATCGGATGCGATATTACGTGCGGGCTGTAGAAGTGGCGTGCGTGTTTTACAGTTCGATTCACAAAATGCCACCAATTGTATCGATATTAAAAAAAACATGTGTCTCGGTTGCCCAGACACAATTTCCCCCCCCCCCCTTGCTTCATCTGTTTGCCCCTTGACGTTCAAGTTCAGAATTATTTTGCGCCCACTGTGTACTTGTCTACATTTTTAATATTCGCTGCGTTGTGAACCTAGCCGTCGGTCCGTTACCGACTCATGTTACCGGTAATCAGGCTGTACGCTAAGCCTTTGATACTATGAGGCAAACACAACCATTCAGCTGTTTTAGGAATCCCACTGTTTCTTTAACGTCTCAAATTTATAACATCATACATCAGTGGGTGTGTCAACCCAGTTTGTGTAAGTAAGAATCAAGCAGGAAGGTTTTTCTTTGTAATGGACCTCTATATAAATTCAAATATTTTGTCTTTGGGTTGGCAACACGTAATTCTGAGTCATGCGGAAACAACGATTGCATCTCCATCTAGTGGAGAGGCAGGAAAGCAAATGGGTTTGGTGGGGGTCGCCTGCCGGGTTAGGAGAGGCAACCTAGCAGTTCGGTTTTCGTGGTAAAGGTGTGAGTTTTGTTATAGGCGTTGTGTGATATTATTCTGTTCTGAACATCATTCGTTTGTGCCCCAAAAGTAGTAGTTGATGTTATTCAAGCGAAAGGGTCGTTCTAACAGTGTGTAAGAAACCGACCAATAGTTAATGTATTACGCAACTACAAATCCATATTTACTTGAGCTCATTTTCCAGTTCTTAAAGTAACTGACTTGAATGCAGTGTACTTGGTATTATATCAGTTACCATGCACTTCGTGTGATTATTATGGGGGGGGGAAATTATTTTTACACATGCGTATTTTAGTGGGTGTTCAGGCATACGTAAGAAGGTGACGTCATCTTTTCATAACATATTTCTGTAAATTGGGTCTAGCAGGGTGTGGTGGTTTTCAGCCGGTATGGTTGTTAGGGTCTATACATGCTGTAGTACTAACTATTAGTACTAAGCCAAAGCTCGGTTATTGGCACATGGCCATGGCAGCAGCTTCCCATGGAGGCCGAAAATTATGCAAGCTTCATTTGTGCCTTTGTGTGGGCGACAGATGAGATCTCTTGGCTTGTGATATTTTAATTTTACCCGTATCGCATTTTCACTTCATAAGAATGTTGTGTTGTATCCTTACGGAAAATAGAACAATGGCTTACATTGTTTCCTTTGACTGTAAATGTCGTTCAATTGTGTCGAGAAATTCAGACCAACTCTTGAAACATGAAGCAGGGTTTTTTGCTCCACCATTTTGAATGTAATTTCCTAGGACTCGTTGACATTTTAGTTCGAGTTAGGTAGGCGAGGAATGAGTTTGTGAAGTTAGAGAAAATGCGTCTTTTATTGCATGTAATTACAACCAACTGTGGTATTACATCTGAAGTCTTCAACCAGGAAAATGAACTTTGAAACTTGCCTTTGGGCCTAAACCAGAAACAGTTCAGTCCATATTCAAACTAGTTTTAAATTTTAATGTAGTACCTCCATGGCTACCTTAGCCATAAGTATGCTTTCAGTATTCTGTGTTTGTATGATTCATGGAAGTTTGAGCTGTATCGTGTGAAAACTATGTTAATATGCCTGTGATTTCTGCAGTTCCTGGAGTTGCCTCATTGGTGCCAGAATCGGACAATGTAGGAGAAAGTGGAGAGGATTCTGAAGACGAGTGGAACTATTACCGTGTTGAACCAACTGCAGAAGGGAACCAGGAAGCTACACAACCGGTACATAATGATCACTTTACTGTAACATTTATCAAGAGGTACAAAGTGGCTTATCGGTAGCTGCAATGGTGGGAAAATTGTTAAATCTGGTTGCTGGAACTGGTGACGATTGAAAATGTAAATTAATTTTGGCAATCTCATGCTACAGACATGATGTGATGAAGGCCTTGGTCTGATATCTCAGAAACTCTATGCCAAATTTGGTTAAGTCCAGTTTCCATTGTAATAGCCAGTATAAACTTTATTAATAGTGCTCTGCTGCTGGCCCTATGGGTTATTCAGTAAAGTTACACGCCCTCTCACAGTACTAGCCACAACCACATCATGATTATTCATAATAAATTACAAGCCTGCGTACACAAATTTCTACTCTAGTCTTAAGCAATGTGTTCATCTGTGCCTGCAACCTTTTATGAATGATAGCATGTTCCTTGCCTAACACTTTATTAATGGTTTGATCAAAGTTTACTTACTAGGATTTGAGGTTCTCACGGCAGTGGATATTAAGATGGCTGTCTTCTGGGTTGTAGCAGTGTGCAATGTGGTAAATGCCAGACGACAACCCAGAAGACAGCCATCAAAGTTTCATTAACCTGCTACTGAAACTAACATAATTTACTTATTTTGTGCATCATGTCAAATCTTGTATCACAGGTAAATGGGGTTTTGGAGTAAATAAGATTCCATGAGGCTAGCCCCTTGCCTGTTGGAGGGAATACAGGCAGCTCTGGGTTGGTGATGTGCTTGCCCAGACCAGATGTCTGGTTTGTTCTGTTCTCATTTTAGAAAATTAATTTTACTCAGTTCTGTATGTGGCAGCATTGTATACATGGTTCCTGGACTTGGTAGCTTCATTACCAGGTTAAACCTAAATCTCTTCCCTTATATCACAGCTTTGATTGCTGTACTTAATCCTGTGTAGTCCCTTCCTTTGTTGGTAACCACCCACAAGACTGCATTAAATTGGAACACACAGGACCATAATCAACAAGGTGGTCCTTGTTAGGAAAGTTAAAGGCTTGTTATTTCTGCAAATGTTCACCATTGACACTATCCTGAACCAGTCCAATCTGTTTCATATTTGTTGTGGTCCTTTTTAAAAAATTATCCTCCCTTCTGTACATAGCTGTCAGTATGACTTGCAATGGAGTGTTTGTTCTCAGGTTTGCCAGAAGCCTGCAGGACCAGAATTAAAGGACGAAGTGAATATGGAGTCTCAGTTGAATCCTGATGCGGCAGAATTTGTCCCATCGCCGACACAGACTATGCCATCTATAGAGGAAGTTTTGCTGGCCCAGTCTCCCAGCAAGGCCATTCCAATGGAAGACATCACTGTCCCCAGTCAGCTGGAATTTCAACATGAAGTCAGCCAGCGTCCGAGTGAATTGGATATTGCTAACGAATCGCCAGAGGTGCCAGAAAACAAACCAGTTTTGAATCTACCAGACCTTATTAGCAGTGAAGTAGATGATGTGAATCCACTCATCCCTTCTCTCCATCTGGAAAATGAGGGAGTGTTCAGTAACATTTTGGAGCATGAGCAACAAAATGATGTTTTCCCAGATCAGCAGGACAGTAATGTGCAAGGATTAATTTTGGATGAGTCTGAGGTGACATCTACAAAAGCAGAATTTGGTGATGACTCTGTGAGTTTCTTAACTACAGGGTCAGAGCTTCAGAAGACAGTGACAGAGAGTGTATCATCTTTATCACCAATTGAAAAATCATTCACCGATTCAAATTTTCTAGAATCTGAACTTGTGGCAAAGTCTAGCAGTTATGATAATGAATTGTTTGGATTTAATGAGGTTGAAGTGTACTGGAGCAAATGTGTAGGGGAAGAAACTGCACTGCATGAAGATGGAAGTTTGGTCCTTGAGACTGGAGCACCCCTGTGTTTTGAAGTGCAGAAGGAATTGGTTCCCGAGATGGAATTGAAGCCAGAGAGAGTCAAGCTTGATAGTGAAGGTGCGTCCTCCGTTGAGGAGTCTGGCTCTCCATTGCAAGCAGAAGATAAACAACTGGGGAAACCGGAGGAACCTACCATTATGTCTCAAGTTCCATATTCACCTGTGAACTCTCCAGTATCTAACCTGCATCCTCTGGTTCTGGACGAATCGACCGCTACATCACAGATACAAGAGACTTCCTTGCAAGATAGCTTGGCAACTGATGTGCCATCGCCATCTGCTGAATATCCCATAGAATCGGAAACAGTCCCATCAAAACCATTGCAGTCTCCATTCAGCACACATCAAGTTTCTTTTTGGGGTTCAGCTTCTCCTATTATGCCATCTGCAACACCAGTACTCTCAGAAGATTTGGAGAATCGGGCACAGGCCATTTTTGCAGAGTTTAAAGCTGAAACTGACCCACATGATATTTCTTCTCCCCCTCTTGCAGTGTCAGAGGTTCAGGAGAAATTGAATTCAGATAATTTACCAAGGCCTACAACTGATGAAATATTTGCTAT